ACAAGATATTAGAGAAATAGGGCGGTAATTAGAAGGGTCTTGTAAGTCTTTTCCTGTTTTCGGTATTGCTATAACAGTAGCGTCAGTCCATTGTGACGGATAGATACCAGTAGTCCATATTTGGTTAAATAAATTGAGTAAGAATATTTTTTTATTTTCAGGTAACTTTTGAAGTAGTTTATAAGGGATCTGGTCATTTCCTGGAGCAGAGTTTTTAGCTGCGGATAAAGCATGGTCCAGTTCATGTAAAGTAAATGGTTGATTGTAAGAAAATTCCTCAATTGATTGAAAATTTAAAGGATTGCGTTCTTTTCTCTCTTTGATTTGTTTAAAATTGTTGCTGTAATTTGTGGATGAGATTGTAGATTCAAAGAAAGTGGCAAGTTGTTCAGCCACGTTTTCTTCACCTGTGATTTCTTGTCCATTTACTAAGAGTATCGGAGAGGGCACGGTAAAATTTCTTCCTCTGATCTTTCTAATTTTTTCCCATACTTCTTTAGTAGTAGTTTCCGTATTGATCGAACTTACATATTGCTTCCAGGATTCCTTCTTACTCTTTACTAATAAGAATCGGGCTCTCGCTCTAAGCCTTTTAAAATTGATCATATTGTCTGTAGTAGGTGACCTCTTAAATATATTATATGCTCTTTTTTTGGCTTTGATAGCACTTTCCAAATCAGAATTCCACCAGGGTACTCTTTTTCTTGTGATAATTCCTTTTGATTTTGGAACAGTTATTTCAGCAGTATCCTGAATTGCTTTAGTAAATTCATTCACTTGGTCCGAGGTGGTTGTTCCTGAAATCTCTAAAGAACCTAGAATATGCTCGTATAGTTGCCAGTCACCTTTATTTAGCAGCCATCGCTGTTGACATTTGTTGTTTATTAGTCTATCTGCCAATTCAATTAATATTGGAATATGATCTGTGTTCCATTCATGTTTAACGCTCCATCTGAAGTTAGGGGCTATTTCAGGAGTTGAAAGGCTAAGGTCTATTGATGAAAAAGTGTTTGACCGTGAATTAATATATGTCCCTTCTCCTGTATTTAAAATGACTAGATCGTTTTCATTAATTATGTCTTCAATAATTCGCCCACCCGGACATGTTCTTTCGGAGCCCCATAAAGGATTATGGACGTTAAAATCTCCTATCAGTAGAAAAGGCTTTGGCAGTTGTAGTATGCAATGTCGTAACTCGGCAGGTGTCCAGTTTGCATCTGGTAAGTATATGTTGCAAATAGAAGGGTATCGGATCTTAATGGCTACAGCTTGCAGGTTTGTTGTAAGTTGGATTATAGAAAATGGAATCATTTCCTTAATAAAGGTAACGATGCCACCTCTTGCTCGGCGATCAGGATGAATATCACATCTGATTGCATTATATCCCCTTAGATTAAATGTTTCGTTTGGTTTTAGATGGGACTCTTGAATACAAATGCAAAAAGGTGTTCTGCTGATTATTAGGGTTTTTAGCTCTGGATAATGGAGTTTACATCCATTGCAGTTCCACTGTAAGATATTTTGGAATGGTAGCATAAAAATAGTGTTGTAGGGAAGTGTAAACTCTAATAATCTTTATAACAGATAATTGTAAATATAAGTTTGTTAAATGTTACAATCAGTTGTTTTCTCCTCGGGAGGAGGTTTATCTCCTGTTGGAGGAAGGGGAGGTTTGAATAAGGAAAGCGAGGTTGGGGGGTTGGATTGAGTAGTATTTATAGAATCTTTTTCAATAGAGGATTTTCTTGATCGATGTTTATCCTTAGGCGGCCGTCATCTAGGCCTTTTTTGTTTGGGATTAGTAGATGAGGCTGAAATGTCACTATTTTGAGATGTGTACATGTCTGAATCATCAGAATCATAGTTTTTTCTTTTATTCCGTTCTTGTTCTGGATATGTTTGTGGTAGTATTGGTAGTGGGTTTGAGGTGGAGGGTTGAGTGTTCTGGGCGGTTATGAATTGTTTTTGCAGATCTTTAAATTGATTTTCAATTAGAATTGATATTTTTGGAAGTAAGGCTTCTATAATTGTGTTAATACTGTCATTCGATTTAACTTTATCCGCATATGATCCACTAACTGGTTTATTTACATTGACTTTTCTTCTTGCTTCACCGTAACTAATTTTCTCCGTTGTCTTAATGGTTTGAATATTAATTTCTTCCACCATACGTGGGCATTTCCTAGACCTTGCGGGATGTTGTCCATTACAATTTACACATATTGGGTCCTCACAAGCTTGTCCTTCATGGGGTGGTTTTCCACAAACACATAATTTTACCTCTGTACACCACTTGGACAGATGCCCGAATTTTTGACAGTTAAAACATCGAATGGGGTTTGGTATATAGGGTCTTATATCTAGAGAGTAAAAAGCGACTTTAATTTTTAATGGTAGTTTGGGTTTATTAAAAGTTAGAATTAAACTAGAAGTGTCAATAATTTCCCCATTTTGCCGAGTTTTGATTCTTACAGCATCAATTACGCCTTCTGATTGTAAG